AAGGGTGAATCCACCCAAACCACCACAAAAAGTTATCAGTATTGGGTCCTTTACTGCACAAGTACCACATACTTTTTGTGATTACCCACCTGCATATATAGTTCTCACAAAAGTGTCTGGTGACTGAATTTCAATAATGTCAGAAACAGGAGCAACATCAAGTTTGCCAGCCACTCTGGGAATAAGATTCTAGGAGTTAAAGATGAAAAGTTAGCAAAGTAAATGCTAAGTAAAATCCACATGGTCGGTACAAGAATGCCTGCTGTCCCAATTTTAACTTTATATAATGCAGCCTGTAAGCAAAAAGGCACATAAAACTGTAAGATATTTGTAGGGCTACTCAGGTAGCTTTAGCAGCCAAATAAAATCCCATTATTATAATAACATTAGACATTTTATGAGACTTACCATAAGTAAACTCTTAATTCAATATCTTAAATTAGGAGGGTTATTTGCTTCAATAGTTTAAAACTGAATATAGATGCAATTTACTTAGAAAATTGACAATTATGGATTGCTGAGCACTTCAAGAAAAAAACAAAACAAAACAAAAATTTTTGAAACTAGTTACCAGAGACAATAGGGGAAAAAAAAATCCCTGCACTCTCCCCCCAAAAGCAAAAAAAAAAAAAAAAAAAAAATTAATAGTAAAATATATATTCTCCTGCTCTGAAATTGACTCTAGAAAACTACTTAGCACCTTTAGGAATGGGAAGGAGGGTAAGAAGAGCAACATAAATGATGAAGACATTAATGACAGCAAGAGCTTTGCTTGCTTTTTGTCCCCCTCCTAGCCTGGTGCGACACAAAGGGCCTAGTTCTGAAATGTTTACTCACATAAAGCACTCAAAAATGGAAACATAAGCTTTAAAGCAAAAGCTATTAACTTTTACTAAGACACTGCATAACAAAATTAAAAAGAAAAAAATAAAATAAAACCTCCCTAAGACTTAAGGTATGTAAAGATTTCTCTTAGCAAAATTACAAGTATATTGACTGGAAGTGAAGGTAGTCAGAGGGAAGGCTGATGTCACTCATCCCACATCAGCAGGACTTCTGAAGTATCCTTTTTTTCTAATTTAGCTGCACCACAAGGTTGGCCAGATTGTTAGCACTGAGGCTCTCTGTGTACTTCAAAACATACTCCTTAAGAAACAAGTTTGGAAAAACTGTATTTTCCTTAAAAACCATCTGGGCTAGGATTTGGATCTGTTATATATATTTACAGAGATTTCAATTTACATGACTTACATCATAGATGCAATTCCCCTCCTCCAAAAAAAAAAATTCCAGTAGGTCTGCAAACTCTCATTTCAACATTTTTCATCTCAATTTACTGTACTTTTCCTTACAATTTTCGTAAGGCTTTCAGATCACTTAAGCTATTGTACACTTTGCCTTGTGTACATAGAACTAGCTGGTTACTACTAAATATTTCTTCTACACTGTTCCTTTGTCCAAGTCAGTCCATAATAAAACTCAGACATGAATCAGTTTTTCTAACTAATGACTTCTTAAGCAAACTACTGGAACATTTTTTTAAAACTCAAAACTGTCCACAGCTGACCTCTCTCAGGCATTTGATTTACACTCTTACATACAATAGTACCTCTGTCTCTTTTCTACAAGAAATTTTTGATGCACTTTGACCTACTTACCTTCCCAAAGGCAGATGCTCCAGCGCAAATGTGGGTGAAATTAAATTTTTTATGAGTTTCCAAAATCAAGGGAGTCAGCTCCTCTGAGGATAAAAATATATTGCTCAAAATTTACAACTATCTTCTTTTCAGTCACAAATATAAATACCATAGATAAAAACAACTCTCACCTGCTAGAAATCCCTTGTATACATCGTGCTGAGCCACTAGAACTTTTGCAACACCCTGCACTTTGCTGAGTTCTTGTGCTACCTATAATTACAAATGAAATGTTATTAGTCTGTATTATAACAGCACATGGAGGCTCCAACTAAACCTAGGGCCCTGTGGTGGCAGGCACCATAAACGAATAACAAGAGTCTCCGCTGCAAATAGCTTACAGCCTATAGATTAGTTAAAACTGGAACACAAAAGTATGTGTATTTCCAAATCAGAATGAAGCCAATGGAACAAAATGCGGATCTGACTCACAGCATAGTGCCTTATGGGATAATGAAAATGAATTTTGTGAATAAGAAAACTACAAAGAAAATCAAACACAGCAAAGTTTGCCTCCTGTGTGTAGGATTACACAATGATCTCATGATTTACTATAACAGCCGATAACAATTGCACTTGAGGATTATTGCTGAAAATTCCAATATAGTCATCAAGAAACCAATCCTACTTTCTTTTAAATGGGTCAATATCTACCACACAAGCACACAATGCAAACAGAAATGTACACTGATGTTATGATCTTTGTCCAAATTTTAGGAGCAATCCTTTGTTCGCAGCTGACTCTTTGCCTATTGATGTGATGTATATTTTCAAGTCTATATTTATGCATTTTTTCCTTTAAATTTGCAGAAGTGAAGTTTAAATGATAAAAGGGTTGTTGCAGATCAGAGAGAAGAAGACTGACAGCAGTGTCTGGAGACCACATGTATCATCCCAGCACTAGCGTAGTTACTTACTGAGTTTTGCTGAGTATCAGTTTACCCTCAAAAATTAACAAGAGGAAATAAACAAAAATTCCATAATAGCTGCTACAAAATATCTATTTGAGAAACTGGTTCTTGTCCTATCAATACAGATTCTAAAAAAGAAGTTTAAAAAAAACCCCAAACCTTCATTTTCTGCAAAGTACTTTTTTCCAGCATGACATACGCTGTCAAATAGACACCATATACTTAGTATTAAAAAAACCCAAGCAAAACATTCCCAATCATTTTTCTACTATGCAAGTGCTAAAGAATAAGGAAACTCAAAAGACAGACATATCGGGCAACTTTTTTTTTTTTTCATGATCTAGATAAATATTTGCTTCCAGGCTTCCACCTCAAACACCTGGGTCTGGTCAGAAGTCAGTGAGGTTTCTCCACCTATTTGCGAACCAGCTGCCATAAGTATGCCTCCCGCGTGAGATACTACATATTGCTCACAGAGTAACAATTCATGAACAATACCCTAGTAAGAAAAATATTAGGCATAATTATTTGTACTTTCACTGTTCACACAAGACTACATCATGCTGGAAATAAACGTGTCATGTACTAACTATACTGTCTTTAGATTTTGCACATAAAAATCAGACTAACAATACAACAGCTAACACAAGAAAATTTTTTAGACATGAGCTAAACAATAAAATGAAGAAACACTAATTTCAGAATTTTAGGTTGCAAACACGCTCTCGCTACGCTACTAGTAGTTGACTAGTAAAAGCAAGATGCTCAGAAGCCCTATTTGTCACTGTGCTGTTTCATTTCTGCTGGTTTCAATTTCAACAAGTGCAAGTTTCTGTCCAAGTTCTTAGCACTGCAACTTGTCTTTCAAACTTTACAGGGAAATATTATTTTTAAAGTTAATTGTCCTTTAGTCCTATAAAAACTTGCCTGCCTAAGCTTGTAACAACTGATATTGATATTCTCCCCTGTGAACTGAAATATATACCCATATTTTCACTTCAGAAGAGCAGTTCAAGTGCAGGACATTTCCGGCAGATTAGCAATTCCTGGCACAGGTCCTCTTTACTACAGATTATTTTGCAGGCTGACCAAGTCGCCACCAAGTATTGTTTCACTGCATTCATTATTCCATTCAGATGAAAACAGCATTTCCTACCTTGTCACAGCTGGTACCAGCTACTAAACAAGAAACTTCACCTCCAAGACGCTTTGCCGCAGTGACTGTATTTAGTGTAATTGGTGTAAGAGTCTCATTGTTGTGTTCTGCTATGACTAATGTACTCTGAAACCTTCGGAGCAGCGATGCCTTTAAAGAAAGAGAGAGAGAAGAGTTTGATACTTAGCATTTAAGTAAAAAACTGTTCCTAAGAGCATCCTATGCTTTACAGAAAAGTTATCAATTACACAAACTGTAAAACACTGCTGTCAAACAAAATAGGCTAAATGTAGATAATTTTTATTACATAGGCAGAATACATAAGTGTTTAAACAAAAAAAGGTATAAACTTGCTTGGCTTCAGCATATTTATAACATGCTGTGTTTAAACTAAAACCTCTCCAGGAAAATACTGAATAATATTAAGGAAAACATTTTAATACAGTGCATTCAAGCTCAGCTGATCAACTTAACTAAGTACCTCAAAGAGTGACTAGACCAGCAACATTAAGACATAAGGAAATCTAGGGTAGCAAATAAATATTTACTTGGGTTTTTGTGTGGGGTTTTTTTTTGGTCATGGTAGTTTTTTGGGGGGGGTTGGGTTTTGTTGATGTAGTTTGGTTGGTTGGGTATTTTTACGATAAGTTTTAGCCAAAATCTGAACTCGCTTTTTAAATTAGTTATGCATAAAGGCAAAATTGTATGCAGCAGCAGGATGAGAATTAAGCAGCAAGGGCTCACAGCCTGAAAACACACTAAAAGAACTGCTGAACAGCATCAGGTTCACTTTTTTTCTATTTTCCTTTATAACATTTTGACACTTGACCACTTTGTCTACCACCAAAATTCAATGGTCCTTAAACAACAATTTTGACCAATTCACCATCCACACACAGACTTGAAGTTCTAAAGCAAAAATGTAAGAAAAAAAAGAATTGCCATGAAACAAAATCAAAATATTCTAAACTCTAAGACTTTCCTCTCTAATTTTCAGGTGAATCTGGAAAAAGCAGATTAGTCCTCCAAGACTAATACCAGCGTTGGGAAAGGGTTTGGGGTGGGAACAGGAATATCATCCTTCAAGTATTTGTTTATCCTACATAAAGCCTAAATCAAGACTCAAGTTATGATCAATATAATATGGAACACATGGAAAACAAAATATATTAATTAATATAAGCAAGGCACAAATACTAACACAATGCTAAAGACTGCATAGCCAAATACTACTTTTTAAAATGTATATTCTGACCCCATGTCCCCTCACGCCAAACATGCACTTACCCACCTCTCAAACTAGGAAAAAAAGCTTCAGAAAATCTGAGAGGCTACAATTTGGATATGGATTTCAACCACACAAAGCCTACCAACATGCTAAGCTTCACACAGAGAAAGCAAATCCTGAGGAATTCCCTGACGCTAATTACAGTGTAAAAATGTAAATACAAAGATAAGTTTTTGCAGAATGAGGATGATAATTTGTCATTTCGATTAAAACAATAAGGTTTTTTGTAAAAGTGAGTGCTCTGCATTTTCTGCTTAAGGTTACTTGTTATGATTAAAGATTCTAAGATCATGTGAAGCCTATTGCCAGTAACAAAATATTTATTGCCAGTATAGATCAGACACCATATTTTTGATTATGTTTCATACATCATTTGCAATAAAAGTTACGAGATTTTAGTCACCATTTGAAGAATAAATCCATGCTTTTGTGGCAAAAAGCCCACTTTTCCAATTATTTATATTCATGTTGCAGGGTAAAGTGGACTGTGCTCCCTAAAGATTCTCAAGTTTTCAAATTTCCAAAGGCAGCCACAGATTCTTTAAAGATTTCTTTAATAAGAGCCTGACTTGGCATTTTAAACATGCACTTAATTCTGACTATATTATGATCTTTTCCCTAAATAAGTACTGCATCACCAGAAGAGCTTTTTATCATTCTGTCAAACGGTTCAAGAATAAACTGAGAATTTTTTTAATTTTTTTTTTTTTTTTTAGTCAAAAAGAGTAAGAGCAACGGATGTTGCTTGAGCAGACTGGATATTACAGCATTAGCTAGATATTACTTCTAAACTAGTAATCCTGCATTTTATATTTGTGGGAACTGTACACCGGAAGGTACTTCATGACTATATACATGACATTTCTGAACACAAAGACAAGACCAGATTGAAAATAAATTTAAGGTCACATTCTAGATGTTGGGTAAAAATCCTGGATGACAAGTAAGATTCCTACATGAGTCTGAATTTTTATATACTAACACATGTAAAATATTTTTTTAAAATAAAACCAAAACAAAAATAAACTAACTTTGGCTTCTTAGAATAAAGATTCTTCAGTAAAACCAGACGGTCATTAATCCAGCCACATATAATCCTGAAAATTGAGAATCTGCAATGAGTCAATGAAGAGGTCAGGTAGTTATTTTGATGAAGTAACTTGTCCAACTACATGTATGCAAGAACAGCCCATCACTTCACTGACACAATTTCTCCATCTGTACTTGGACAGGATGTCTAGTTTTAAGCCTAGATAAAATAGGAAGGTTGAATATAAACCTAACTGTCTGACAGCAAGGATAAAACCCACAAGAAATAAGACACACAGAACAACCAAACTATTGAAAACAATGCCTTGAGAGGGAAGAGCACTCAACGCTTGTGCCTCAGAACTTTCCTGGTGAAAACCAAGCTCTGGAAAATCAGGGTATCCAAATGAATAAATTACAATTAAACATCCTACTAACTTGGGCAATCGAGTGGCTTCTCAAGCATGCCAGTAGATTATGAACACATCTGCCAGCAACCAGTAGAACTGGAAATTTATTTCACCTTGGTTTAGACATAAATCGAAGCTAGGCACCTATGTTTCCTCTACAGCAGAAACATCTACATTTCCTCTATGGTGGAAACTTCAGACAGTGATGGAGTTTATACTAAAATAAACATTTATTAAGGAAAACCCTCTGGAGTTTCCAGCTCCCTCTCCTCCATTCCCTCTCCAGCATTTACTGTAGAGCAAACCTAGCCTCTGACTTTCAGATGTCTACAAGTTGGCAAGAATAACCTAGATGCTAGCATACTTCAATACATACTCACAAAGTACCACGGATTTACTGAATCTATCTTCTCAAGTTTCCCAAAAACATCTTTTTGCTCCCTGCCTGAAAAACTCAGCAGTTTTCTGTGCAGAATGTGAAAAATTTAAGCATAATATCTGAATTTCTAGACTTTAGACGAAATAACTGAGACTACTCACTGCTGCTGTCCCAGCCAAATGTTAGAAATCTGGCCATGCTCAGTACATGTGCACAGATAAACCCATGCATGAGGCCAACACGTTGTACATCCAAAGCACTCATTCCATTTGTGCAGGTGATCACCAATGCAAACTGAATGTATGTTGGTCTTTCAGCACACAGACAGGTCACCTGAACAGCACACAAGCAGGCCCAGCACCTCTTAAATACAGATTTGCTGCTTATATGCTACAAAACATGTATTAAGAGCAAGAAAATCCAGGACTAAAGTGCTGTAAATCTTCACTTGCTGCTTGGTGAGACTGGTGAGCAGACAGGTATCAACGGCCTCTACAGTCAACAGTCGATAGCTAAGTGCCCGCAGCCTGCTCCAAGGATGCTCGGCATGACACCGAGGAATTATGAAATCGGCTCTGGAAATAACCACGTGGCAGGCACAGGAACAAAAGATGAGTCGGCCAAAAAGTCTTTCCAGAAATGCAAGAACTCCAGCAGGTGTACTGGACATGGCCTCATGCTCCATATGTGCATGAATATAAAATAAGCTGTTAGAAATCTCACCCAGGAAACTGAAGTTTGCCTCCCAGTCTCCTCAGAGGAACAGCTAAAAGTTTTGGCAACTAAACCGAAATAGAAATTCACAAGGCAAAAGCACGTAACAAGTGGACCCATGAAGGTATCTCTAGAGCTGATTTTCTTAGCTGTAAAGCCAAACTGGCCAGAAGTTAAAAATTTAAAACTGCTTAATAGGAATCATGTATCTCAAAGGCCCATCATCATTGGGCAAAATTCCCACAAACTGCCTGGAGTAACTAGGATATTACTAAAGATGATGGCCACAGTCTCATACAATGAAACAAAGCCTAATTCTATTGACAGGCAGTCTTGCAGTTGCAAAACTTAAGAAAAAAAAAAAATATTAAAAGCTCAGGTAGAGGAGGAAGCTCTAGCAGTAACGTTTCTACTTCTCCTAGAACCTCTGTACAGATCTGGCTACAGAAAAGGTCTAAAAGACAGCTAGTTAATTCCAGGAAACACTACTTAGAAAAAAACACTCAAGGCACCTGAACTGAAAAGGAGCCATAACTGCAGCAAAGAACAGCAAAAGAAATCAAGAAAATGCTCAGGAAAAGGATTTATTTAGGAATCACAATTAACACTTAAAATTACAAAGGAACTGAAACAGCAACAGAAAGATGTAGTACAGAAGAAACTTTTCCGGGTATATCCCATGCAAACAATTAATAAAAATAAAAGCAACAAAGCTGTTTTGAAATACAGGCAACACTACTGAAAGTGAACTCAAGATAAAAGAATACTTTTAAAAAGTTAATAGCCTGAGCTTATCAATGACAATTGAAGGATATATACAAAGTATTCCCTAAGACCACAAATGTAGCCCGATACTTTTTGAGTAAGGTGTGTTCCAGGTTATTAAACCTATTTATCTGCATTATATCAGGCTGAAAAAAACCCACCACAAAAACCAACCCAGACAGGCATCATAAGATATATATGACTGAAATAAAATCCACCATTTTCAGAAACAGCAGGAAACTGAAAGCTCTGAACAAATCAACAGGAACTCAAAGACTCAGCAGCTGTAAAAACTAGGTCCCCCCCAAAACACCATAAAGACAAAATAAAAGTACCTTCTCAATATCACTAAAAATTCACATTTCACTTTATTCAAAAGCTATTATTTGGTAAAACACTATAGTACAAAGTGAGAAAGAAAACCTGACAGCTAAGACCATTTTCACCTTAGGATCCCTCAAAAGCTTCAGAAGAACATAACTATTGTTTTGGTTAAGCCAACTCTAAATTATGTCTTGCCCCCCCAAAAAACATATTGCAGACACAAATGCTACTTTTACTCTATTTGGACCTTTAAAATAACAGCAGAACCCCGAAATATTATACAAAGCAAAATAGTTTCCTTAAGAAACAGAGCCACAATGTCTTTCACTCTATTGATGGGTGTTTTTGAGGGAGTGTGGAAGTAGAAGTGGGAGACTAAGAGATTCATTTATGATTTGAAACAGTCATGACTAACACTGCTTGCCCTTCATGAATATCCTTAGGATAAATTCTAACTTCAACACAGGTTGAATGACAACTGGATACAAAATTAAAGGCATTGGTATTATGTCCTGGTATTATGTCCACCTACAATCAGTTTGGTCCCAAACTGCTGTGTAATGTCATATAAGAAGAAAAAAGGAAAAAAAACCAAAACACAACCAAAACAACATTGTGAATAGGCAACAAGGCAGTCACTTGCTTATCTGATAAAAACAACACAGAACAGGGAATGTTAAGGGAATATATTATCTGTTTGTTGTTTTATAAAGGTAGGAATGCGTGACCTCAAAACACCTCTTAATTAAAAGTCTTCAAGACAATCCTGATGATCACAATTTCATATTACTACAGGTTTGGAAGGACCTCAAGAGCTCATAAGCAACCATCTCTATGTTATTTCCAACATATCTGTCTAGCTCATTGTTAGTGTGTTCCAATGATGATAACTCCTAGGCAACCTATTTAAAAAACTTAGAATCCTTTCAACTAGAAAGGATTTCTTAATGACTATCTTAACTCTTCACAGGTATCTTAAATAGCTCTCTTGCAATTTAAGCCAACTGTTATTATTTTATCATCCATGGACCAGTCAAATGGCTTATTCCCATCTCTGCACCAATTTCTCATGTACTTGCAGTCTCATATTCCTCCTCAGCCCTCCCATCTTTAAGTCATGCAACTCCAACCTTTCCTTGGTGCATAGACTTTACAAGTCTCTCACCTCCTGTTTTTCTCTATTCACTCTTGAATGCATGAGCAATAGCAGTGCTGAAATGGAATTTGCTTTGCTTTTCTTGCAGACTACGTTGTTACCCGCACACTGAGGATGCACACAATGTTTTATTGCTTTTATTTTATAAATGTATGAGTTTAAATGCATATTGCTGAAAAACAAGGAGCTGCCCCCATGTTTCCAGGGTATGAAACTGAATTGTGCAGTGACCATGAGAGTTAAGTATTATTTACACAGCAGTACCATATGTCCTAGGAGCTCTGGAGATCATCAAGACCTTTGCTCTGGAAAGCCTACAACCTAAAACAACTGAAAGAAGTCCATGATTACAACAGTTATCATTTTTAGATTAACTAAATCACATATGTCCTGGTCTACTTTTGCTCTTCTTTTAAGCCATCCTTAGTACTTTAAACCAATTAATGTATATATAATTTCTATTTAAGAGCTATACAGAACTGTAATAGTTGTAAAAGCCTTGGAGAGACCAAAAATAAATTTATGAGATTTAAAGGTCTTTCTGAAGGGCAAACAGTTCTAGTGGAGGGAATGTTTCCTAGTGCATGCTGAGAGATCAAAGAGACACTCAGGGACATTTCATGAATCATCTACTCCAACTAACCTTGAGTTCACCTAGTCGTTAAATTTGGTAACATAGCCACCACAACACATTAAGCATCAAATGGCTTCCAAAAGTCCAGCACTCCTCCCAGCTGAACAACATGAAGAGCAATATGGAAAAGCAACAAGTGTTTCTCATTAGCTTTGGTCCACAGATGGTGACAGTTAAAGCAATCGCATTTCTGCACAGCTGAGTTCGTGTGACTGAGAAACGCTGTATTAACCTCTCAAACCACAGAAAGCCTCTCCCTGAGCCACAAATGTCTTTCTAACGTTAAGAGTGTGCAGTAACAAACTCCAAGAGTTTTTTTCGGCTGTTCGGAAAGTACTCCTGCTCCTCAACCAGTTCTGTCCGAGGGCGGATGAGAGCGAGCACTGAGAAATGTCAGGCTTCTCTTACGACTACGTTAGATTCCCACACAGGACAATCCTCAACTCTTGCCCGCAGTGAGCGCCGGAAAACGCTTCTTAAACAGCCGGACCAGAAACTTTATTTTTATCAGCCACGGCGTGGAAGAGAAGCAGAGTCCAGCGGAGGACGTCGGGCCGGCGGCGCCTGTTGCTCGCC